GCCGAAACCCCGCAAACCAAAATGATCCAACCAGAAATCAAAGCAGCACATAAGAAGAAGAAGATGATGAAGAAACACAAACAAATTGCAGAGAAAACAAAACCAGATCAAACCCCTGCCATTCCAGCACAGAAGAACACGCTTCCAATGCCGCAAATTCCGAGAAATTACAGAATCGTGGGACGCGAAAAACAATTTTGAGGTCAACAGGTGTGTGATTCGGTGACAAAATTCTGCATATTTGGGAATGAAAAATTTTTCTCTTTTTTTCTTTTCGTTATTTTGGGTTTAGTCTATAGGAAGAGGGGTAGAGTCGTTGGGTGGGTTTTTATTAAAATCTGTTCATAGTGGTGGTAGGTTCGTAAGTAATTACTGAATCTATGAGGGGTAGAAACGTCATTTTGACATTTACGATTTCTAATTTTCCCTCCATAAAGTATTTCCAAATTAAAAAACCATATACGTATCCCCCAACAAATTGGGGGAAAGTATGTCAAATTAGGGTTTTCTTTTGGTGATTTGTTAATTCTTGTTAGCTTTCCTATTTTCTTTCTTGTTTTTTTCTTGTTTTTAAATGAAAATTAAATGTATGTTGGATAATTGTTTTTCTTCGCTTTTTATTTATTTAAAATAAATTTAAATATATATTACAATTTCATAAATGAATATTTCACTTGGTATTTTTTTTTTTTACATATATTTCACTTGGTAAATTAATTTAAGTAATCAAAACTTTTAGATCACTTTAATTCCTTTTTCCATATTGTATGTGCAATTCGTGAGATAAAAGTAGCAATTTTGTTTATTCACGTGGAAAATTAAAAGTACGAAACAGAGGGCGCAATAAACTTTATATATATATATATATAAAGGTATTGAATTTACATTGATACGTCAACATTTTAATCAATATTTCTATATTTATTGGTTTGATATCAAAATGGATGAATCTATATTTCCATTTTCATCGTTAAAAAGGTAGATGAAGTATTAGAAAATACCAACAAAATGTCATTAATATACTCATAATACTAATAACAAGAAGTTTAAACTTATTTTTAAATTTCAAATGTTTATTTGTTAATTTAAATAATTTTTATAGTTTTTCATAAATATCATCGTTCATTTTGACATTTAAGTATCCAATGTTTGAGAAATAACTTTTATTAGTTTTTAAATTTCAATATCTTATAACTTAAACTCTATAAGCTGTGTTCAATGACAATTTCGTTTTTCATTTTATGTTTGTAAAAAATAAACCTAGAAACATTATTTCTACCCTATATATTTATTTGTCTGGTTATCTACTTTCTAAAATGTTTTCAAAATCTAAGTTAAATTTTGAAAGGTTAAAAAAAATATATATATATATATATAAAAGTTTTTAAATTTGGCCAAAATTTTAAATATATTTTTTTACAATGGTGAAAAATATACCAAATAAAGGCAGAAAGCAAGTACAATTTTCAAAAAATATATATATCAAAGGATTATCAAACAGCTCTTAATTTTCGAAAATGCTCTAAAATATTTTATGTTGTTATTTGTCAGTTAGTCACTTTAACAAAACTATGACATGATGATTTAATAGATTTTGCTACCAACGTGTCACAATATAAATATATTATTAATATGACGTGGCAAAAACTAAAATTATTGAAAAAAGAAAAACAAAAACAAAAACTTAACTCTCCCTTTCTCCCACCTTTCCTCAAGTCCTAATAATTTTGGAGTTATTCATAAACTTGTCATACTATGACGATTAAAAAATATTGTTGGTCTCACTCTTTTATAAAATGTCGATGGGTATTTTTTAAATTTTCATAAAAATAAAGATATTTCATAAATAAATATCTAAATTAAATAATTATGCAATCTGTCATTTTTAAATAAATTAACAGATTTTTATTATTAATATTACGTGCACCCGAGTGTTATTTTATATATTTTGTCGATTTTTAATGTCGATTCACCTCTATGACGATATCAAATTTATCAACATATAGAAATATAGAAATATCGACGAAAATTTAATACCTTATATTATATTATATTTAGAATAAAAGCCAAAAAAAAAGTGAGAAGCATATGGAAAGAAAAGTATAGTTTTATTATTAAGATAATACATTCTACAAGGGCATACTCATGATTAAGATAAGGTTTTAATGACAATCATGATAATCTAATAGCTAGTTTTTATAAGTGTCTAGGATTATATGATGTTATCAATATTGCTCAAGGATGAGTGGAAGAATGTTAGGTTTATGCCCTACAAGTCTTTTTTTAAGTACAACTTTATGCCCTATCAGTCATGTAATCATATTTGTGAATATTTAATGTTTAGTTGTTTAAAGATTTAAGAAAAAATTACCCTCTAACATGGTTTTAAAAAAAATGACTTTCAAAGTTAAATATGAATGTAGTTTAACGGATTAAGACATATATTCTCGATAAAATACTTACTTACTCGTAATGTTTTATTGATATTTTTTTTATAGTTTGTCAACTTTTTATGCAATATTATGCAAATGTCCATTCATTTATCATGTCGATGTCAAATACATGAACATATACAAATGTAGACGAAAATGTCAACATGTTGATAAAAAATTAACATCCTATTATTTTTTTTTTAAGTACAATATCCTATCTACTTGATGGTAGTATAAATTGAATAGGGGGTGTATTAAGTTTAATCACTAGATTTCAAATTAAAACATAGAAAGATTAATTGGGAAGGGTGTGTCGTTTCAAATTATTAAAAAAAAAAAAAAGAAAATTTGGGAGATGTTACAAAAATAACTACTTTTAACAAAAGTATTTATTATCTTTTTAAAGTGCTTTTAAAATGCTGTCAAGGGCAAGCACCAAAAGTAATATGCATATGGTTATCCCAAAAAAAATATTTTGGGTTTACTTATTATGAATCGGAATGAAAATCAATCGGAATGAAAATCAATCGCAATATAAATATTATTTACACAAATTTTGTGGAACTGTAATTTTGAAAATAGCCTAATAGAAAAATATTTTTGGTCATGAAAAAAATATTTTGGTTATGCCAAAAAAAATTCTCAAAATAGCCTATTTTAGTAGTACCAAAAAAAAAGTGTTGGGAAGATGTTATTAAAATAAGAACTTTTTAATTAACAAAAGTATTAATCATAAGCACTATAGTAAAAGAATTTGTACCAGGAGTGAGGGTAGAATTAATAATTTTGAAGAAAGAGATTTAAGTATAATTAATTTTCTAAAATCATCCTCCAGATAATATCTTAATATCTTAAAAATCAATTTAAAGTGATTTTAAGTTTTTTAAAAATCAATTTTTTTATTTGACAAACATGATCAATGAAAAGAGAAGCATTTTGACGATGGCAGAAGTGACCTTAACCATGTCAAAATCACTTCCAAATGCATCTTTACCGTAGAAATACTTTTGACTCTTAACTCCCAAATATGAAAATTTTAAAGAAAAAGTACTTTTAGATATAGGAAAATGTATTTTTGCCCAAAGCACTTCAAGAGTAGGCTATAATAAAACTTATGCTAATGCATTGTTAAAAATGCGTGTGGCTCCTACACGATAGTATATAATAAGAACAAACGTTCTATCTTATATAAAATTTGAGTAATTGACCATATAAACAAATTCGTCCATTGTGTATATATATGTGTAGCTTTAAAAAGAAAATGGTGTAAAATCAATTTATACCTTCAAACCAAAGAAGGTTGAATCAATTAAAATCATAACTAAAAAATTATTTTGGTTGGAACCTTAAACTTTGATAAGTTAATCAATTCATTTCCTCGATTATAATTTTCGTTTAAAATCATTATTAAACGATTCCCCCTGTAGACTTATTTAAATGCAAGATTAATGAAATATTAAAGAGAAATAATAGAGTCAAATTGGTGTAATACTAATGTGGTTGGATTTTTCATTTTCTCTTCTCTTCCTCTATTTTTTTATTTTTTAAATTTTAATTAGATTACCTCGAAGTCAGCAACCATTTGACCTTTTTGTCCCTATACCTGGGGTATGCGCACTGTCCCTATACCAATGGGTCATCGTTCGATGGAGTTGCGTTCCATGTGGTTTGAACCATATATCTCAAACCAAGAAATTATGAGTTCAATCTCCCACCTCAACATGTTATAAAAAAATATATATTAATTTAGAGTTACTAAGTTGTTAAGAAATCTTATTTCTCTAGAGTTCGGAAAGTTAAATCTCGAATATTTCATCCCATTTGTGGTATGGTTTGAAGTGAAAAGAAAATTTAAAAGATAAATTATTGCTATTTAACATTTTACGAAACTGTAAATATGTATATATTGGCAAAATTATATGTTCCCACAAAAGAATATGAGAGAAGCATGGGGATGCTGTGTTACAAATGTACAAAGAAGTGGCCGGCCGCCGGCCTGTACAAGAACCGCCACCTCTCTCCGCCGTGGACGGTGGCCATTTGCTACATATAACGTGGAGAGAAGCTCGGTTCACGGTGGCGATGGCAGATCGAGAGTCGAGCCCGACTCGACGAGAATGGACCAAAGCATTTGCACATCTTCACAGGGGCAAGACTTCACATCCTTGTATAGAATGTAGATTCCTTTTCCTGCATGCCAAAAAACGAAAATTCCTTTTAACATTTTTCTCCCTAACTTTTAAATTGAAAATTTTAATATATAGAAAAAATTAAAAGCTAAGAAAAAGTTATTTATTT